GCTTTGTAGGTTTGAGATTTCCCTGGTGGCTCAGACAGTAAAGCATCCACCTGCAATACGGGAGACCTGGCTTCGATCCCTCGGTTGGGAAGATCCTCTGGAGAAGGGAATGGGCCACCCACTCCAGTATTCTGGTCTGGAGAATCCCTGGTGGGCTACAGACCATGGGATCGCAAAGAACTGGACACGACTGAGCGGCTTTCACTTTCCATCCTTTGGTCCAGAAGATTCCCCTGGAGGGAATGGTCACCCACTCCAGTCTTCTGGCCTGCAGAATCCCATGGACAGAGGCTACAGTCCATAGAGTCTCAAAGAGTCGGACACGACTGAACGACTAACACTTTGTAGGCTTGGCAGTAGAAAGTGGAGAAAGTTTCTTTTTTTTTTTTTTGACACGGCAGGCAGAGGAATCTACTAAGAATGCGGGTTATGAAACGCGCGGAGTGGCAATGTGGTTGGGTGCGGAAGTTCAGGACAAAAATGACTTGGATGCAGGAGCCGGCAGGGTTCGTGGATCAGCAGGAGATGCGAGNGCGGCGCGTGCGGCCCCTCCCCCTGCCCAGCTCGGGGCAGGCGCCCGTAGCTGCTGGACTTCCCGCGTCGGCCGGGGAGATGCGGCCGCCGCTCGGGCTCTTTGCAGGTAACACGCGGGGCGGCCCCTGCAGGGCCGAGGGCGCCGCGGCTAGGCAAGCGGAGTTGGGCGCCGAGCGGACCCGGGCGGTCCCCACTGCCCGCCGCGCCCCGAGCTCCGGCAGTCCGAGCCGGGCCCGGCGGCGGCGCGGCTGGAGGAGTTGGCCGGGGCCGGGGTCACGGCGGATGCTGGCCCTGGCGCCGTGCGCCCGGCTGTCAGCGGCACGCGGGACAAAGGGCGCGGCGTAGGGGGACGCGCTCACCGCCGCCCCGGCAGCGCGGGCTCCCCGTCGACCCCGGGCGCACGGGCGCCTCTGGCGCGTCCCCCGGAGCGGACACCTGGCCGCGGGCCCCCGCGCCACCCGCCAGCTGGCCGCAGCGCAAGCGATGTCTGGACGCAGCCGGGCCGCCTGGCCGCCCGCCCAGGGGAAAAGGCGGCGCCCTGGCCGCGCCGCGAGTGCCAGCCTCCCCGCGCTGGCTGCCCGGCCGAGCGGCGTGCCTGGGCCGGGGCGCCGGGGACCCCCACCGAGCTGCCGCTTCCCTGCGCCGGGCGTGGAGTTTGGGGAAGCCGAGCGGGTGGCGCGGCCGCCGCCTCACCTCCTGCGAACTCCGTGGGGCTTCTCGTCGTGTTGATGTTGTGTCTGTAGGCTGTGCGTATTTTCTTCCTTCTTTTTTTAACCGCACACAAAAGAAAGGAGTTAGAGGAACGAGCTAGCCAGAGCCCGTGAGTCATCCCACGCTGCTCTTGCTCTTGGAGCGCAGATGGATGGGGAGTGTTTCTTGAGAAACAGTTAACAGGGAGGACTCACGGGGACCCCCCTCCCTGTCCCCTGTCCCCGCAGCCCCGACCGCGCCTGGGGCGCCCCAGAGGGAGGTGGAGTGAAGTGTCACCCGCTGACTTCAATGGGAAAATGGCTACAAGCTAGCAAGCTGGAAACTTTCTGGGACAGTAGAACTGGGAATGTCGAACCTCCCGCATTCATTCTTGCTGTCGGCAGGCCTGGCCCTCGAGCGTTACTGAATTAAACCGAGAAGGCGATCCGAAGAGGAAGCTACTTGGAGTAGCATTGTATTCAGTGCTGCGTGGGGGGAGGACGGGGGAGGGCGGGAGAGATGAGTCTCCAGTGCCCTGGGGGCCCCAAGAGAGGAGCGGCCAGCTCTGGTCTCCAGGTGCTGGGTCAGGAACGATTGTGTTTCTTCTGGTTTCCAAACGGCCTGTCTCATCTCAGGCTGGCAGAGGGCAACCGGTGTGTGGATGGATCAATACCGATGAGCTGGAAAGGCCAGTCTGAGGCCAGAAGGCCCTTCAGTGCCGCTGGAAGAATATTTTCCAGTAGGTGTTCACTGCTGATTTTTCCAGGGATCGTGTAAGTTTGATCTGTCACCCCCTTACTGCAGTCCAGGCTGTGTGTCAGGCGTCACCGCGTCCCCAGGGTTCAGAGCTCTGTGACTGTTGTATGTTTGCTTTTGAGGGATGGTGTGCCCTCTCTGAAGTCTCTTTGACCTTTTCATTGACGATTGATTGATTGGTTTTAACCCCCTGAAAATAGAAGCTTGGTATAAGGAGTTTGAGATATTGAAAATAAAGAGGCTTGTGCTTCAGTTCCAAATCTAACTACATACAGGCGCCAGTGAATTCTCAACGCAGTGGGGGTAAGCCCAGGAAAGGGACAGGAATCTGATCAGCAGTGTGGTCACTGGTGGGGCTAACAAGCCCTGCATGGGCTGAACCTGAGGCCATGATGTTGCTCCTTTCTTCTCTGTTCATGAGGCAGACTTCCATGGCCCAGGAGCCAGGGCTCGCAGGCAGGACATCCCCTGGGGAAGGCGAATGGGGTGATGCCGCCCAGGGCCCATCCAGAAAGAAACAGAATATGCACCTTTTCCTGGTTCATGCTGCTGTTTAGTCGCTCGGTTGTGTCTGACTGAGGCGTGCGACCCCATGGACTATAGCCCGCCAGGCTCCTCTGGTCCATGGGATTTCCCAGGCAAGAATACTGGCTTGCCATTTTCCTTCTCCTGGTACAAAAAGGTGGAAGGGACCTGTCTCCCTCCAGGTACCACTTCATGCTGGCAGGGCTTCTTGTTCTGAGCTTCCAGCCTGCCTGCGATCCTTACAGGAAAAAAGTCAGTGGTGGCTCAAACGGTAAAGTGTCTGTCTACAGTGTGGGAGACCCAGGTTCAATCCCTGGGTTGGGAAGATCCCCTGGAGAAGGACATGGCAACCCACTCCAGTACTCTTGCCTGGAAAATTCCATGGACTGAGGAGCCTGGTAGGCTACAGTCCATGGAGTCACAAAGAGTCAGACATGACTGAGCGACTTCACTTTCACTTTCACTGTTGAAGGAGGAAGATTAATGTGTTCAGCCACATGGTTTATGCAGGACATACAAATGCCTGGTCATGGAACCAGTGCCCTGGGTCTGCCCCAAAGAAGGGTGCCCTTCTCTCAGTTGCATCAGGTTACCTGATGGGCTACTGCTGGCCTTGGTTGGCTAGCCTATCCTCAGGAATAAAAATTGACGGCAACGTGTTGTTCAGTCATTCAGTCGTCTCCAACTCTTTGCGACCCCATGGACTGCAGCATGCCAGGTTTCCCTGTCCTTCACTGTCTCCTAGAGTTTGCTCAAACTCATGTCCATTCAGTCAGTGATGCTATCTGACTATCTCATCCTCTGCCACCTGCTTCTCCTCTTGCCCTCGATCTTTCCCAGCATCAGGGTCTTTTCCAGTGAGTCAGATGTTTGCAACCAGGTGGTCAAAATATTGGAGCTTCAGCAACATGATGGCAACATGGGTGATCCCAAGACAGGATGTCAGGGACTGGGCCACTGGGAACTAATCTCTGCAGAATAATGAAGTGAAGTGAAAGTCACTCAGTTGTATCTGACTCTTTGGGACCCCATGGACTATACAGTCCATGGAATTCTCCAGGCCAGAATACTGGAGTGGATACCCTTTCCCTTCTCCAGGGGATCTTCCCAACCCAGGGATTGAACCCAGGTTTCCTGCATTGTAGGCTGATTCTTTACCAGCTGAGCCACAAGGAAAGCCCAATAATAACAGTAGTGGGAACCCACTGTTTCCATATATGCTCTTGTTTAATCCTTAGCACAACCTCCTGGTACCCTATGGTGCTGATGAGGAATGGATCCTTGGAAAGACCAGGCAACTCAAGGTCATGTAGGTAGCAAATCCAAGTCTGCCTGCCCGCAGAGCCTGTGCTGTTAACCTCTGGGCTAGACTGAGGTTCCTGACACACGGTAGCAGAATTGCATTTGCTGAGCCACAGTATTTTCTGAGCTACCCTACTCTGCCCATTAGCAATCAGGCCTTAAATGGAAAGGGCATTTGTGAGTGTCCTTGCAGGCAGCAGAGAAGTGGGGATCTTGGACCAGGGAAGGGAAGCAGCAATGAAGAGGGAAGAATCAGCCAGGATGGGGAGCCGGGCAGAATCTAGGCTCCCTGATGTCCCTGCCAGAGAAGAGGGGGAGCCCTTCTGAGATGGGCTTATCCATCCTGTTGACCCCCCAAGAGTCCAGGCCTGGTCCTGATGTTCCGGTCTATAGTCTGCCTTCCGTCTATCTCAGCAACCCTTGCCTGAGTACCAAAAGCACTAGTGTGTGTTACAGACAATCTGAGATGAAAAGGGAGGCCAGCAACTAATGTTGTTCAGTCGCTAAGTTGTGTCTGACTCTGCGACCCCATGGACTGTAGCACGTCGGGCTCCTCTGTCCTTTACCATCTCCCAGAGTTTGTTCAAATTCATGTCCTTTGAGTTGATGATGCCATCCAACCATCTCATCCTCTGCCGCAGCAACTAATTCAGGAGCACAAATGAGTTCCCGATGCAGTACTCTTCCTAGAGGGCCATTTGCACCTCAGAGATCCACTTGTAAAATACTGGTATCATCAACTCAACAGATATGAGTTTGCGCAAACTTCAGGAGCTGGTGAAGGACAGGGAAGCCTGGCATGCTGCAGTCCATAGGGTCGCAAAGAGTCAGACACATCTGAGCGACTGAACATCAAACTCAAATATCTGGGCCTGAAGCAGACAACACAAAGATCAGTTACGGGACCGTCTGTCAGCTCACAGCTCCATTTCACATTTAAGATTGATATGAAACTAATGTAAACCATTCGCTTTCCTTCATATTCACTTTCTGAACCAAAGAACTCTTGTATCCCTCCGTATTATGTCAGGGTAGCTTCCTAACTGTTCAATTTTGTTTCACTTGTAGCAGGAGTGATTTCTGGAGCTCAAATATGGACACAGTGGTTGGGGCCTGCGTGGTGACCTCTGTTGTGTTTCCAACTGTAATTTGGATTTGACCAGTGGTTTATCCTTTCAGTGCAAAGNTTGAGTCCCTGGATAGCAAGGAACTGCAGATACAGACTTATAATAAGCTCTACATAGATTTTCAACAGCGAGAAGGGTCAGTGCCCCTAACCACTGGGTTGTTCAGGGGTCATCTGTACATCTAAAGTGCCTCCCAGTCAAAGGGCCTGAAATTTTCTTCCATCTCAGTGTGAAGGAGTGGGGCTGCTCCCTTAGTAGGGAAGACGAGACCCTTGCTTATTACTGGTCAACTAGACGCTCCAGGCGATTCTCAAATTATTCTCAAATGAATGTGCTTTCTTCTTACTTGAAGAAAGTACTTGTAATAACAGTTAACCTTCCTTTGACAGTCATTAAACCCCGTGGTTCTAGGCACTTTCGGTGGGTGTCCTGCTTAACCCTCATGACAACTGTGTTAGGTGGGCCTACTTATCATCCCCATTTTAGAGGTGAGGAAACTGAGGCCCAGAGAGGGGAAGTAACTTGGCCAAGGTCAGGTAGACCTAGACAAGATCCTGGTAAAACCAAAGAGGGTGCCTATTGAAGGTGTGGTGGGCATGGGGACAGAGACAATGTGATGGGGAGGGGAGGTGGTTTCATAATTGGTGAATTCCAGGTTAGGAAGTTCTTAGGCAACTGCTGGAAAGTTCTTTTGCTTTGCCAAGTGCACAGGATGTGAACTCAAAGATAGGCAGCACACGCAAGGCCACCGAAATAAGAAATGGCAAGGCTGGGAGACAGCATTCCATTTTAATGTTTTGCCTATTTGAAAGAAAAGCTAAAATAAGTGTCTTTATAACTTGACTCCCTCACCAACATTGGAGGTCATGTCCTCACCTAGAAGAGGACCCCCCCACTCTCCTTTAGGACACAGCCTAACAATGCTGGAACAATGCTGTCCCCAGCATCTGTCTGCAGTGGGGCCTCCTTGCTCTGTCTGTCCCCTGGGTGGGAACCACGGGCATGTGCCTGCCACCTCACCTCTGTTAAACTCTTCTTTCTCCCAGATTTCCATTGAATGGGCAGCAGTGTCTGTGTTCTGCAGAGAGACCATAAGCTCTTTCACAATCAGGACCATGCTTCACACGCACACACATATAAACACACATGATTGTTGTGCTGAGACCCAACAATGAATATGTATTGATTTTTCTTGATTGCATGAAGCAAGATGGTAACTTTTTTTTTTAGCTTTGTAAACTGGCTCAAGGACTATAAAAATGATCTGCCTTCTGGGGCTGATAAACATAGGATTCGCTTAAATCAGTGTTTCTCAGGGATAATCCAGCATCAGAAACCTGAAGACTCCTGATGTGGTCGGTTGTGTCTGGGCCCAGGAGAAGCTCCCTGTGCCCAGGGTGATGGTTCTGCCTACTTGCGGTTTGAAAGCACCCCTTAAAGCTGTTTAGGGTCACACCCTATAAACTCACAGCATAAATAAATACTTGACCGTCGAGCTCTTTTTCACTTGAGGTAATCATGCCTACTATATGTATGCATGTGTGCTAAGTTGCTTTGGTCGTGTCCAACTCTTTGCAGCCCAATGGACTGCAGCCCGCCAGGCTCCGCTGTCCATGGGATTCTCCAGGTAAGAATACTGGACTGGGTTACCATGCCGTCCTTCAAGGGATCTTTCTGACCCAGGGATCGAACCTGTGTCTCTTACTTCTCCTGTATTGGCAGGTGGGTTCTTTACCACGAGCGCCACCTGGGAAGCCTGCCTACACTATAAACCTCCTCCCAAGGTGTTGACGAGTATTGATGTCGTGTCACTTTTCTCACAGGTTTCTAGCCAGCAGAATGCTGGACACAGAGGCCGGCGGGGCGCAGCTGTCAGGATGGCCGAGTGGGACGCCAGCCTGGACCACATCATCCCATCCTCTGTTCTTCCTCCCTTCTGGGCGAAGTTCCTCGTGGGTTTTGCTTCCCTTGTGTGTTTTGCCCGGAGCTATGATGGAGACTTTGTCTTTGATGACTCTGAAGCCATTGTTAACAATAAGGTTCGTATCTTGATGTCTGTCTGGTAAACTGACTTGTCCATCAGACAGACAGACAGACAGACAGACAGACACACACACACACACACACACACACACACACACACACACACACCTGCTGCAGTGGTGGGCAAGTCTGATCCCCCACTGGAAGGTGTGTCCTTGGCTGCAGGCAGTGAGCCGGCCCCTTCTGTGTCCTCCGCTGGGAGCATCAGGACATCCTGCTGACAGTTGTGGATGACCCGGAGTTTGCTGCCCGAGGAGGCTGCATTCCCTGCTCATTTCGTCCCTGCTCGTTTCACATGTGGAGACTCAGATTTGCTGAATTTGCAAAACCCCAGCCAGTTCTGCTCACCAGTGGGTGCAGGGGAAATAATATTCTCTCTCAGTCGCTAGCTATAGAGGTAGGGAAGAAGAAATTGGTTTGTGGGAAGGGAAGAAAAGGGTTTCATCGAGCTAAAAGAAAATCTGAACAAGAAACTTGGAGCAGAGAGAGCCCGGAGGAGAAAGATGGTGGAAAGAACGTAGTTAGAACCTTTGTGACGGGAAGTGGCTACCCTTTCCAGTATTCTTGCCTGGAAAATCCTGTGGACAGAAGAGCCTGGCGGGCTACAGTCCATGGGGTCACAAGAGTCGGGCACAAGTTAGTGACTAAACCAAACCAGCCGCTGCTCAGTAGATGTTTGTGTCTGCCTTAAGGGGCCAAGAGAACCTGACGGAATCCACTCCTCTCTCTTTCTCTAGTAGATATAATGGTAGCGTCTCTTTGTAACATTGTCCTTAATGCTCTGCGAATTTTGAAGCCATAAGGTTTTCCCAAATGTGGAGAAAGCCATTTTCCTATTGAAAGTGTGGAGGAAAATTCTCTGTGCGAGGAACCTGTATGATTGCATACACGTGGGGTGGAGGGGAGGGGGCGAGGGGTAAGGAGGTGACTGTTTGGCAGATAGTTTATTTGTAACATCCTGTAAATGATTTGCTTCATTTCCACGGCACAGACTTCGGTCCTGGTGTTTATTCTGAATCCACGTTCTTCACTTGTAATTTCCCTCAAGTTCGTCCAGCAGTTTACTGCAGATGTTTCTCTTTCAGTTCTTTTAGCAGCAGTGCTTAGGAGCAAAAGAAGTGTGTTAGCTCTGAGCAACGGTGTCACATGGGTGGCTTAATAGCGATTCTCCAGCGGGATACGTGGGTTAATAGCTGCTTTCCAGTGAGGATGTGTGACTGCCTTTATTGTTTTGGCTGTGCTGGGTCTTCACTGCTGTGCAGGCTTTTCTGTAGCTGTGGAGAGCACTGGATGCTCTCGAGGTGCGGTGTGCGGGCTTCTCACTGCTGTGGCTTCTCCTGTTGGGAACACGGGCTCCAGGGCACGTGGACGCAGTCGTGGCCGCACACGGGCTCAGGAGCTGTGCTGTGCGGGCGTAGGTGCCTCGCAGCATGTGGGATCTTCCCGGATCGGGGATCGAACCTGTGTCTCCTTCATTGGCAGGCAGATTCTTAACCACTGGACCACCAGGCAGGTCTGCCTTTATTGTTGTTATTTTTCAATTCCATTTGTTGAGAGTTTCTTGGCTCTGCCACTCTAAGAGAATGTATGAAGTGTCAACTCGGCCCGTGTTGAAGAGCTTTGGTGAGCGAGGCGGGGAGACGGGTGTCATGCGTGAGACGCCCGGGACAAGGCTGTGCCTCTCTTCCCTTCTGGAAGCGGAGGCAGATGAAGGCGCTCTGTGACCCTCCCTACATTGTCTTGGCAGGGTTTTCTGGAGCTTCACACTGTGCCCCTTTGTTCACTTGTGAGCCCGCTTTTTTCCCCTTCCCTGTCTAATGAAAGGCCCTCCTCTGTTCATTGGCACCGTGCCTGCAGTAATGTGAAACAGGCTGTGACTGGAGTTTCTTGGTGTTAAAGGCTGTTTTCCAGATGCTTCCTTGTAGTGTTGAGTTGCCTGTTTTCATGGAGATGATGATTTTCTTTGAGACGGTGGAGTCAGCAAGCATTTGAGACACAGCACATCTTTTCTAGAAATCATTAGGAGGAAAAATTGACCTTTCTTCCTGCAGTGCGCCCTGCTGTGTGTGGGCTATACCCAATCAAATATTTAGAGCTTTGTTGGTATTCGTTTTCTGTTCAAACGCAGGAAAAGATCCTTTGCTCCCCCCTTCACAGCTGAGCAGGTAGTTCTGGAACAATGCAAAAGTACGTGACTTCCAATGGGGTAACAGAGTAAACGGAGTTAGTGGGTGGGTCGCACGACCCTCATGAAATAGCGACTTGGCTCTTAGAGGCGGGTGTGTGCACTCAAGGCCCCTAAAGCTGATATCCACCGGAAGTGAAATTCACCCACTAAGTGGGTGTCAGGTCACCAGCTTGCCTAGGTCCCACGTCGTCAAACTTTTCCCTTTGCGTCATTAAGCACCTAAGGCTTCCCAGGTGGCACTAGTGGTAAAGAACCCCCCTGCCACGGGTTCGATCCCTGGGTTGGGAAGATCCCCTGGAGGAGGAAATGGCAGCCCACTCCAGTATTCTTGCCTGGAGAATCCCACGGACAGAGGAGCCTAGTGGGCCACGTCCGTGGGGTCACAAAGAGTCGGGCACAGCCGAGCAACTGAGCTCAGCAAACATGTGCTGAATTCTGCTGTGTGTCCTGGACCCTGGTTGTCCTCTGGGAGTGGCCATGACTTGGCCCACTTCTTCCATCTGGGCCATCACCTATCTTCGGGTCATCGTGAGCAGCGAAGACTGCCCCATTTGGATACCTACCTGGATAGAGGTGCTCAGCAACACATCCAGTGCTGTCATTTGTGGGTGCACTTCTGCCTGCATGGCCCCGAGCCAGGTCTTCAGCCCACCCAGGAGTCACCGGGCCTTGTGGTATCCCTTAAGGCCTGCCTTCTTAGCTGAAGTTCATCAAGTTGTTTTCGTTACTTGACTCCTCTACCGTGCAGTGCTTATCACATCATTAATTTCTAGACCCTAAAATATTCCAGTTTAACCATGCTGCAGAGAGAAAGTTAATATTCAGTTTTGATACTTTCTCCAAGTGCCTTGTCTGCCTTTCTTCTTCTTAAGCACAGTTTTAGTAATCTAGTTTTATATTTAAATGTTAAAAAAAAGAAGATTCATTTTAAAGCATCTATATAGTTCAGTACCAAATTAAATTACCTTCTAAGATAGGTATTGTTTTAGAATACTTGGTCATTTTTATCTTTAAAAATTATGTGGAAGTTTTTTTTTCTCTAATTTTACTATCTGCTTAGGTCATAATCCAAAATGGGAAGGTTTAAAATATATGGGTCGGGAAGACTCCCTGGAGTCTTCTCCCAGGAAGACTTCCTGGAGAAGGAAATGGCAGCCTCCTCCAGCATCCTTGCCTGAAGAATCCCATGGACAGAGGAGCCTGGCGGGCTACAGTCCACGGGTCAGACACAGCTCAGTGGCTAAACAGCAGCCTTACATATTGGATGTGAGAGAGGGTGATAGTGACCTCACTTAGCTGCTTGGTCCATTTGTTCATTCTGCATGGATTAAGCCCCTTCTCTGCACTCCCCCCAAACCCGGGGGGAGGGGCCCAGGCCTGGAGGAGCCCCATTGCAGTGGGGTGGATAGCAGTCACGTGACTGTGAACCTCCTGGGAAACAGGCACTGTGAAGACAGGTAGAGGATGCTCTGGGCCCCCCAGGAGGAGAATTGTTCCAACTCCGGAACATCGTAGCCCAGTGGCTGAAATATGAGGAGCAGGAGAAGCTGAGCTCTGGGGAGCTGAGCGGTGACCATCTGGGCACAGACCCGTGGGTGTACCGTCTTGGGGCGGGTGGCAGCAGGGGCCATTTGGGGACCAGAGACCAGGGGCAGAGCCAGAGTCTGGGAGATGCGCCGGCAGAGTTCAGCTGAGGGGCCAGAGCATCCCAACTGCGGTGTCCCCGTAGGACATCGGCTTGGTCCTGGAAGGGGCGGGAGCTCTCATAGTGGGTGGGAGAGATCACTTGGAGAATGTGCAGAGTGGGATACTGCTCTGGGATACCGACGAGGCCCGGCTGGGTGCTGGCTGTGAGGGCGACAATGGCTGGACCCAGGACCAGTGCGAGACATGGACAAGAGAGGGCTTCTGCCCAGGGGAAGGTCGCAGTCCCGACCCCGCCATCTGCTGTGTTGCCCGCAGGACCTCCGCGCGGAGACACCTCTGGGGGACCTGTGGCATCATGACTTCTGGGGCAGCCGGCTGAGCAGTAACACCAGCCACAAGTCCTACCGCCCCCTGACCGTGCTGACCTTCAGGTGAGGTGCCGCCGGATGGCCATGGGGGAGGGGAAACCCGAGGCTTGTGCGTGATGTTGCACCAGGTGGGGTGTAACAAGGGGCCCCGGTCAGGGGTTCCAACAGATGTACAAGCCGCGGTGCAGACACTCACCCATGCAGCCAGAGGAGACCTGCCGGGCCCCCAGCAAGGATGCTCTGATGAAGCAGTCCCTACTTGGCACAGTTCTCTCAGGTTGGACCCTTTGCAGCTTAAGCTGGAGGAAACAGTATGTCAAGGCAACAGGTGGCCTCTAATTAAATTGTGTTTGTTTTCACCATATAAAAAAAAGTAAGTTATAAATCTTCCTCCTGTGAACCACATCAGTCTTCCCTGGTAACTCAGAACTAAAGCATTCACCTGCAATGCAGGAGACCCAGGTTCGATCCCTGGGTCAGGAAGGTCCCCTGGAGAAGGCAAAGGCTACCCACTCCAGTATTCTTGGCTGGAGAATTCCATGAACAGAGGAGCCTGGCAGGTTCATGAGGTCACAAAATGTCAGATACAACTGAACGACTAGCAGTTCACTTCTGTGACCACATCGATATCCAAAAACAAAATGAAACTAAAGATGATCTCACCACCACCCATGAATCAGGGAGTTGTTTGCATTAGATTAATTGATCTCACAGAAGTTCCCATGCATAGCTGTTTCTCGGGTGTATTGGATAATCTATGTGTAGATCCCTCAAAAGTGAAAGTGAAAGTCGCCCAGTCGTGTCCGACTCTTTTCGACCCCATGAACTATGTAGTCCATGGAATTCTCCAGGCCAGAATACTGGAGTGGGTAGCCTTTCCCTTCTCCAGGCGATCTTTCCAACCCAGGGATTGAACCCAGGTCTCCCACATTGCAAGCTGAGTCTTTACCAGCTGAGCCACAAAAAGAAGTATAGAAATGATGAATCAGAACCACTCATGACTGGAACAGAGACAAGAATCCTTGACAGGGAGGAAGTGCTTCATTGTTCAGAAGGCTGGTGGGCAGACTGTCAAGGGGTATTTTGGGAGGTTGGGGGCAGGGAGAATAGACAAGTCACTTGACCATCTCCAAGCCAGGTCCCTGTGGAGCAGCCCGAGCGTGTGGTCTGTTTTATCTTTCTGAAAGACAGCCTTGCCTTTATCACCCCTGAATAATTGTCTTTTTTTTTGGCATTTCCTCTCCAAGTATTTTCTGTCCCACTCCTCTGAGAGGTCCTTATCTCCCGTTTTCCCCTCTGCAGTTAATTACGTTCTTAGCTCGTCTTCACCCTTCTTAGCTTAACAGGCATTATTTATCTTGACGCTATTTTTATCAACTGTGCACACGCTCACCTCCTTCAGCATGTTCACACATCAGCCTTTCCCTCCAGGCGGCTCGTGTTTTATTTACGTGCTTCTGCACCTCCGTTGTGACTACCTGCCTTCCCTGCAGGATGAACTACTATCTGTCGGGAGGCTTCCACCCCGCGAGCTTCCACGCGGTCAACATCGCCCTGCACGGCGGCGTGTGCGTGCTCCTGGTGGACGTCTTCTCCGTGCTCTTCGGGGGCCTGCAGTACACGAGCAAGGGCCGGCGGCTGCACCTGGCCCCCCGGTCGTCTCTGCTGGCCGCCCTGCTGTTTGCCGTGCATCCGGTGCACACGGAGTGTGTGAGTACCGTCCGCCAGCCATCTCTGCGCGTGTGTGAGATAGCTGCGGTCCACGCGCTGGTTTGTTCCCTAAAACAGGCTTCCCTCGACTTCGTACGGCTTGTAGAAGGCCAGCTTTCAGACACCCGGAACAGTGATTAGTGGGGACAGCAGGTCTCCCTTAGGTCAAACACAGGGTCCCCGATGGGCCAAGACTTCATAATGACCATGTGGTATGATCTCCGGTGATAGATACTCTCTGTGTCCCTTATGAGACCTCACTGGAAAGGTGTGAATGGTGGACCTTTCCCAGCTTCTGGGTCTAAAGCTAGAGGCTGAGATTGCCTTTTTTTCCTGAAAAGGGGTCTGATGCAATTTTCCTTTGTTAGCCGAGAGCTTTTGTGATTTCCAAAATACTTCCTCACACTTCACACGATTGTCACCAAAACGCTGTGGGTTCAGCTGGAGCAGCATAACAATTTCCACTTTACAGAAGAGGAAGCAGCCAAGGAGGACAAATTAGGGACTTAACCCAAGTCCATCACGTGGCTGAGGGGTGCAGGGATAGAATGTAAGATCTGGTCGTCTGAACCTGTGCCGAGGAAAGGTCAGCGTGCTGCAAGCTGAGCTGGTGAGTGGGTCCCCACATCCTGCTGGGACCTGCTCATGAATTCGCCCCACCTTGCTTCTCATCTCCCATCCCTCCATTCCACGACAGCCATTCAAACTCACATATTTGAGACAAAGCCATTGGTCATTAAAAATTAGCATTCCGAAGACAGATCAGCTGTCTGTTCACCTTTCCTTGTTTCAGCAAATAGCCAGTATTCAGTTTCATCCTCTCTATCAGCTCAGTTTAGTTCAATTGCTGAGTTGTGTCTGACTCTTTTCAACCCCGTGGACTGCAGCACACCAGGCCTCCCTGTCCATCACCAACTCCCAGAGTTTACTCAAATTCATGTCCATTGAGTCGGTGATGCCATCCAACCATCTTATCCTCTGTCGTCCCCTTCTCCTCCTGCCCTCAGTCTTTCCCAGCATCAGGGTCTTTTCAAATGAGTCAGCTGTTCACATGAGGTGGCCAAAGTATTGGAGTTTCAGCTTCAACATCAGTCCTTCCAATGAACACCCAGGACTGATTTCCTTTAGGATGGACTGGTTGGATCTCCTTGCAGTCCAAGGGACTCTCAAGAGTCTTCTCCAACACCACAGTTCAAAAGCATCAATTCTTCGGTGCTCAGCTTTCTTCACAGTCCAACTCTCACATCCATACATGACCACTGGAAAAACCATAGCCTTGACTAGATGGACCTTTGTTGGCAAAGTAATGTCTCTGCTTTTTAATATGCTGCCTAGGTTGGTCATAATTTTTCTTCCAAGGAGTAAGTGTCTTTTAATTTCATGGCTGCAGTCACCATCTGCAGTGATTTTGGAGCCCAAGAAATAAAGTCTCTGGGCTTTGGGCTGGGTCCCCAGGGGAGGGAGGAGACCTAACGGAGGGGGTTTCCTTGCCTCTTGTCTGTTTAAAGACCAGGATGTCGGCGCCAGGGGGTTCCCCGAGGATACTAGTGCCACTGTAGGATTTTTTTTTTTCCTCAAAGCATTGGTGAAGATTTCGGATTGCTTGAATTCAGGTGTCAGAGGGAAGGCCAGATGTCCTTAATACTCCTGCTCATCCAGTGAAGCCAGAATTTATACTGAAGGAATCAGGTGGTGAAACAACCCCTCTTCTCCCTCCCCTCATTCCTTCTATGGCTCCCACGCAAATCGTGCCCAGTAGGGAAACGCCACCACCTCCTGTGTTACGGACTCAGGGAATGGTGGTGACTTTTCCAGAAAACTCTGATGGGAGTGTTTCAGGTTATTTGTAAGGGGGAAAAGAAAATCTTTATAAATAACTTTGCCTGAAAATACATATTAATGCAAATAACAGAAAAGAAAAAAATCTCTTTGTACCCATGCACGTTGGCCAAACAATTCAACTGAGTACCTTCTTGGATAGCCTTTAAAATTTTCTTCCTATAGAATCTCTTTAATTTATGCCAAAAATTCACTGAAGGACTAAATACTCTGTACACTGAAACACTTATCACACTTTTTTTTGAGATTTTTTTCTTTTTTAAATTAGTTTTTATTGGAGTATAGTTGATTAACAATTTTGTGTTAGTTTCTTGCTGTATAGCAAGTGAATCAGTTATCCTTACACACATATCCCCTCTTTTTTGGATTTCCTTCCCAGTTAGGTCCCCACAGAGCACTGAGGAGAGTTCCCTGTGTGATACAGTAGGTTCTCATTAGTGCCATACTTTTTAGAACCTGTTTTTCTTCGTGTCAGATGATGTAATATACATTCCTTAAGACCTAGGAGTATCTTCACTTAGCCAAAGGTAGAATGTTTGTTTTAAAAATGAGTTTATGATATTTAAAGTTGATTTTAGTGGAAGTCTTTTTTTCCCCCCCAGATTTGGATGATTTACAACATTATATGTTAGCGGGAGTCTTTAAATGTACCTCAACCACTCAGATAACAAGTGGTTTAGGCTGGCCTTATTGCCCCTTACACCTGGTATTTATCCAAGCCACTTCCCTCCCCTTCACCCAGTATAGGAAGCCTTGTTCTCTGACCTTCCACGTTCCCAGCCCCTGCTTCCCCAACCCCCTTGCTCTCAGGACCTTCTTGGATGCCCTTCTCTGGGTTGGCTTTGCTTACTGTCTCCTCTGAAAGGCTCTGGGGTGCTGGATCATCCTCGGGCCCTGTGAAGAGCCACAGCTGGCAGATGCTGCTCGTGCCCCTCTCTGGTCCTGATGGGAGGCCGACGGCACCAGCTGCTTCCTCCATCACTGGCCGCGGAGCCGCAGAGCCCACACCTGCTTCTCCCTAAGCTGCCGTGTCCTTGGTCCACTGCTCTATCCCCCCGCATCCCACCAACCATGTGTACCTGTCGGATTGACAGTGAACCAGCACCCACTGTGGGCCGGGCTTTGTCTATGGGGTCTCACTGCATCCTCGATTGCACTGCATCTCTGAGCAAGTTACAGGCCAGAGGATTCCAGAAGTCTCATGACGTATTCACTGCCTTCATGAAGTAATCATTCCATTTACCCCTCCAGCACACTGGCCTCCTTGGCCCAGGCCTGTTGAACCTTTATTTGTCTTTAGCTTCTTTCCCGGGAGGAAGTTTTTTCACGTGCCTGGCAGTCACAGGTGGGACTCAGCTGTCAATCTTCTTAGTGATCGCGTGCCCCTGTGTCAGGAGCTCGCCATCAGATGGGTGTTTGCCTCGCCAGCATCGGAAGCCATGGTTCGGTGGAAACTGCTCCTAAAAGGCGTTTCTTTTTGCTGTGGCTTGTACACGCACCTAGGCACAGAATGTAAATATAGTGATTTTTCACATTCATTGTGAAATATACTCTCTTACCTCTGTTTGTAGGCTAGTCTTTGGATCCAACATCACACTTCTCACTTTAAGATGAACTTCCCAGGAACTAAAGCAAAACCTTGAGAGTCACAGGGCAAGCTCTGATACATGTCCTGTCTGGGTGCTAGTTAATAAAGGATGCCATGTAGACTAGACTAGTACTCAGGAGCACAGTTCTCTGTCTTTGGTTGACCTGAGACTTTTGGAGAACAATTGTTGGAGTAATCGGCTTGAAAGAAATGAAGCACCCATTTTGTATTGCTTCTTTGACACTAAGGTGGAGAAAGGGGCCATCATCAGGTGCAGAAAATGGGGAAGGGCAGGAAAGAAGTGCTGGAAATCGTACTCTGTTTACATCTTACTGGTCAACCTCTTTTGAAGCCTTCTGCTTTCCAGGTTAACCCACTTAATTGGTTTTGGTCTAAAGGGAGGGAAACACAGGCAGGGACAGCCCTTGAACCATCATCCCTATGTCATTCCAGCTGACTGATGACGTGTAACACTTACTTCCCACCTGTCTTTCATGTCTCCAGTCAAATTTTCTTTATTAAATATCATGCCCTTTGAGCTGATAGCATTTTCCAATTGAAAAATCCACCCTGGGCACCTGATTAGGGCAGAGGTCTCTGGGGCTGTGGGCACAGCGTGCCGAGTGACAGGGCTATCCGTGCACATGGGCATCGCTGCCTGTGTCCGACCCACAGAAGAGCCACAGTAGGTCGGAGTCAACCCAGCCTTCCCATGGAAGCAGCTGTGAAAAGTGAAAAGAGTCAGTTGTCAGATCATACCACAGTTAGAGGGTATATTTTAATAGGTGGCCGAGTCTCATAAGGTTTTCTATTTCTAAGGATGTTTCTGTGTTTCCAAAGTTTCATGTAAATGTTTTTTAACATAAATCTTTTTCCTCTGCCTTCTTCTAAGGTTGCTGGTGTCGTTGGCCGTGCAGACCTCCTGAGTGCCCTTTTCTTCATGCTGTCTTTCCTTGGCTACTGTAAAGCATTCAGAGAAAGTAAGTGTGATGTTTTGCCCTCTTAATTTTGCCTCTTCTTTGTGTTTCTGTTCTGTTGAGCAAGTGTTTTAACAGATGGGAAGGTGTCTGTTCGTATAAGTTTTTCACTTTGAAGGAATGTGGGTCAAAGATGTCAGCTGTTTTTAGTGATGTCTGTTACTCGGTTGCTTTTTTCAGGACACAAAGGTTGTGCTTCAACATTCACAATGTTCAGGAAGCATCTTGCTGAGTAGTGAAACCAAGAGCTTCTGCTCTTAGTGCTAAAGCAGTTGTGATTGATTTCTGTGATTTTTTTTATTTCCAGTAAAATTGAAGATGGGAAAAGCTTTTGGTTATTTATTTATTTTTAATTAAAACATGTTGGAGAAAAAAAAATAGAAAAATGGTAAAAATGTATAGCTATGAATATGCACCTGGAGCATGAGGTTCTTATTTTTTCATTGTCATGTTAATAATACTTAGAAAGTCTTTGTTGCTGGAACCAATGGAGTCGAAATGACCAGTTGTGTGTGTGCGTGTGCGTGCACATGTGCACACATGCACACAAGTGGCAGGGGTTGAATTGCCTGTTTATTAGCAGCAGTGCATTTATTGAGATTCAGTAGAATCCCTGTATAACTCTACTAATTACATGAATTCTGATTGCCTCCAAGTTACATCATCCCTTCCCAGTTGTCTTACAGTAGAAATTGAACATGATACATTTATACATGTTGGCCCTGGCAACAGTGTTATAAATTCAACTTGTTGTAAATTCAGTTCATGACTGTAGAACTTTCGCCTTATGTAATACAACTGAAAAGGGAAAATGAGAAGAAAAGGGAAAGTGAGAGGAATGATCCCTGTGGGTTGCTTGAGGAGGGCTTTTTCAGCAGAGCGAGTGAAAGTCGCTAAGTTGTATCTGACTCTTTGTGACCCGCCATAGACTGTCGATCACCAGGCTCCTCTGTCCATGAGATTTCCCAGGCAAGAATCCTGGAGTAGGTCGCCCTCTCCTTCCCCAGGGCCTCGTCCCGATCCGAGGCTCGAACCTGGGTCTTCTGCATTATACACAGATCCTTTCCTGTCTGAGCCGCCAGGGAAGCCAGCTTCAGCAGAAGCTGATATAGTAATACATGGGTTTCCTTGAGTCTCTTCCACAGCACTTCTCAGAGCTTAGGTCTGGTCCCTGCCAGGGCCTTGATGTTATCGTTCATGTACTAATGCTTATACCTGGACTCCTCTTGTAAACTGATATCTTGTTCATAAGCCAGGACAGACTGCTCATTCAGGATTTTGTCTCTGCTGGGGCTGGTTGAAGTAGGGTCACTCAGGACTGGTTTTTGCAGAGTTAGGAGTTTCCATAGAGGCTGCCTGGCCTGCGAAGCCTAAAATTCTTACTGGCCTATCCTTTGCAAAGTTTGCTAATCCCTGGGACAGATGACTGACAGGTGACTGTCACCATGCTAGTGGTTCCAAAAGATTATTTTGGCCAAGATTAATAGGGAGTTTCCAGCACAGATTTTTTTTTTTTACTCATGAAGGTAGAGGAGTTTGCTGTTAATATAAGTTACCATTTTTTGACCACTGTCACACATATGTGTGTGTAGTTGTCAATTATGTTACAGTCTTTAGTTCAGTTCAGTCTCTCAGTTGTGTCTGATTCTTTGTGACCTCATGGATTGCAGCACACTAGGCCTCTGTGTCCATCACCAACTCCTGGAGATTGCTCAAATTCATGTCCACTGAGTTGGTAATGCCTTCCAGCCATCTCATCCTCTGTTGTCCCCTTTTCCTCCCGCCCTCAATCTTTCCCAGCATCAGGGTCTTTTCCAATGTGTCAGTTCTTCGCATCAGGTGGCCTAAGTATTGGAGTTTCAGCTTCAGCACCAGTCCTTCCAATAAATATTCAGGACTAATTTCCTTTAGGATGGACTGGTTGGATCTCTTAGCAGTCCAAGGGACTCTCAAGAGTCTTCTCCAACACTACAGTTCAAAAGCATCAATTCTTCAGTGCTCAGCTTTCTCTATGGTTCAACTCTCACATCCATACATGACTACTGGAAAAACCATAGCTTTGACGAGACAGACCTTTGTTGGCAAAGTAATATGCTGTCTAGGTTGGCCATAGCGTTTCTTCCAAGGAGCAAGCGTCTTTTGGAGCCCAAGAAAATAAAGTCTGTCACTATTTCCACTGTTTCCCCATCTATTTGCCATGAAGTGATGGGACTGGATACCATGATTTTAGTTTTCTTTTCACTTTTATCAAGAGGCACTTTCATCAAGAGGTTCTTTAGTTCCTTTTCACTTTCTGCCATAAGGGTGATGTCATCTGTGTATCTTTAAGATACATGAAGTGATGGGACTGGATACCATGATTTTAGTTTTCTGAATGTTGAGTTTTAAGCCAGCTTTTTCACTCTCCTCTTTCACTTTTATCAAGAGGCACTTTCATCAAGAGGTTCTTTAGTTCCTTTTCACTTTCTGCCATAAGGGTGATGTCATCTGTGTATCTTTAAGATAGATGGAGTTACTTTCCCTGCTATCCACATGTAAGACACAGAGTTTAAGTAACTCGCCAGGACCACACAGCTACATATGGCTGAACTGGGTTCACACTCTTGAGTCTAACTCACTTCAAAGCCAGCCCCAACTAAATTGTCTTCATTGGCTTCCCTGTCCTCATGGGACCAGTGAGGCAAGCTTGTCAAAACAATCATTAAAAATAAACAGGGGGTGCATTCAATTCTGTTAATGAAGTTAAAGTGTTAGGTGCAGTAGAAACATCAAAGGTATGATTTAAGAACAGCCCCTGCTACTCACGTTGCCCACATGTTTGTAAGTGTGCAGCCAAGAATCAAAGCTCTTTTGGGGTAGAAGTTCAGTCTGGTACTTATTGAATACAAATAATAATAAATGATATTTGTTGTTTAAACTTATGATTTAAGTTACCTGGTCTTTGTTCTTTCAGACCTGAACATCAAGTCAAAGAACAGTCAAGCATTCATTCCTCATAAACTTGAAGTTTAAGAGCGGTGTTTTTTACAGAGGAACAAATTTAATATTTTTTATAAGGGAACAAAAAATTGAGTGTTCTGAAGTGAATGATTTAACTAGGTAGAAATATCTTGCAGAGAATACATTCCTTTTTAATAACCTCATTAGCTTTCTTTATAGATGCACTGTCTGTATTATAAAGCTCTGGACAATTTTTAACTGCCTGAGTTTATTGTAACAAGCAATTCTGTACTAACTTCTGGAATCCTGGCATTTTTTCAGAGTGAAAAAAAAGTCTCATGTAACATTTCTGTCTGCTTTTTTTTTTTTTTTGTACTTACGTAGAACAGCTCCAAGCGAGATCTTTTAGAATAGAATCTTTTTTTTTTTTAAGAAGAAAATAGCCTTATAGAAAAGGGTAATTATTTAAAAGCGAGAAAGAAAGAAAAACACTAAGTCAGTGATGCGCTGGTTATTATTTCTGAACACCCAAAATGAAAAGTATTATTCTAATGATAAGACATCCTGTCAACATTTCTCTCTGTTAAACTGAGGGGCAGCAGGGGCTGCGGTGAGGGGAAGGAGCACGGAGTGGGTGGGAAACAACCCCCCCACAAGCATTAACAGCATATTTTGGATTGGAAAAAGGTAATCTGTCTGCATGGGCTTCCCAGGTGGCGCTAGTGGTAAGAAATCTGCCTGCCAGTGCAGGAGATGCAGGAGATGTGGGTTCAATCCCTGGGTCGGGAAGATCCCCTGGAGGAGGAAATGGCCACCCACTCCAGTATCCTTGCCTGAAAACATCCCATGGACAGAGGAGCCTGGCGGGAATACAGTCCCTGGGGTCGCAAAGAGCCGCGCGTGACAGTCACACCATAGCTCAGGAAGCTAAAACAGGGTAACTCAACTCTTGGGAGCTCGTTTCCTGCTCTTTTCCACTCTGATTCAAGACATGTTTGTCTTTGGCTTACACAAAGTTAAGTCACACAGCTTAAAAGAAACGAGGGCAACTGCGTAACTCAGTCTAGGACGCTTGTGTTTTGTTTTGTTTTTTTAGACTTGGGGTTGCTGTCATCTGAATTGTGACCGCGGTGTTCGCGTGGGTTCTCTTTTCTCAGAGGTTGCTACACTGGCTCGATTCTCCCAAAATGCCCCCCGCCCCCGTTATTTTAGTTAGGAGAGCGGCGTCTGCTTCCTCATTCCGCGGGCGGAAGCGCCGCTTGCTTGGCTCCCTCTCCTGGAACGAGAATCGGATGCTTGTTGTGCGGCTCTGGGCCGCCTGACAGAGTTGAGTGACTTCCGCCCACGCACTGCGACGCACGCCGGCTTCCGGCGCCGAGATGCAGGCGTCGACTGGGGAAGACGGTCGCTTCTGGCATACGACGCTTTTTTTTTTTCTGAAACAACAGTTTCCCCACTCGAGCGCCGTGCCAAGTCCGCCACGCAGCGCTTCCCTGAGTTGCTCGCATCTGTTGGGCACTTGGGGGTGTTGGCGCTGACCAGGGTCTTGCTGTTAATGCTTGTGGGGGGGTTGTTTCCCACACACTCCGTGCTCCTTCCCCTCACCGCAGCCCCTGCTGCCCCTCAGGCTTTGCCTCGGTTTACTGAAGGGATTGCATTACCTCAGAGACAGACACGGAAACAAGAAAAACATTTTCCAAGCCAGTCTTTCTGAAATTCTGGATTCTAAAGGGTTGATGTTTGCGAACGCTGAACAGTTCTCCTAGAGCAAGTTGTGAGAGATGTTGCATGCTGTAAAAATAGTTTTTTGGGTTTTGTGTGTGTGTGTGTGTGTGTGTGTGTGTGTGTGTGTTTTCTTTTCATTTTCTCTCCTGGACCATTGTTGCTTAACAACTTAGTAGACTGGACGGATTTGAGATGGAGAGTTCTTAGCCTGAGACACTTACACTGAGTTTGGCACCAGTTTGGCTTCCCCCAGTGGCTCGGGTGAAGAATCCACCTGCAGTGCAGGAGACTTGGGTTCGATCCCTGGGTGGGGAAAGTCTCCTGGAGAAGGAAATGGC